CCATGGAATCAGAGCCTCCCGGCCGCCTTTGTCTTCCAACAATTTGACACGACACATGATAGCAATAAAATACGTATGAAAGAAGGGTGCCTCCCCTGGAGATAGCAAACACCACGAAGACAGAGGGGGGGGGGGGGGATTGCAAACAAAAATATAAACATGGTGATTGAATTTCGATTTAAAGCTTTCGTGACTGCAGGGATTCATCTTCTTGGTTCTTTCGGTAAAGTCATCACGTAGAAGGGAAGTAATAAAATAATACAAATAAAACATAATAAAATAATTCTCACGACGTTTCGGCTACAACGCAAGCAACTGTCCTCAGGTGAAGACCAGGTCTGTCGGGGAGACAGCGCCTGAATGAAACACCACCACGCTTGGAGCGTATATTTAAGCTGGGTTGGAAGGGGGAAAGGGCGCCTTGACAAGATAATTGCATATCAAGAGGAATTTAGCATATTTATGGGAAATGCAGGTATGTGATTAGTACTACTTGTGAAATGCGTAGGAGGTGTGCGGGAGGTTTCAAAGTCATATTTTGCCCGTGCATTATGCAGGATTAGCAGCATCAAAGGGAGGGGATAGGGGTAACATTAATAAAGGGAAGGAATGTTAATAGTATGTAGCTGTAGTTACTGCAGCTACATACTATTAACATTCATTCAGACACTGTCTCCCCGACAGACCTGTTCTTCACCTGAGGACGGCTGCTTGCGTTGTGGCCGAAACGTCGTGAGAATTATTTTATTATGTTTTATTTTTATTATTTTATTACTTCCCTTCTACGTGATTTTACCGAAAGAACCAAGAAGATGGTGATTGAAAGCAGCCAGTCAAAGGTGGGGGGGAGGGCAACCAGGCGGCTGTAGCCATGGGAGGAGAACGAGACAAAGGGCATCTGGTTTTTCTTCTCTCTCGCAAGGACACAGATCATGCAACTTAGTACTGTGAGCGGCAGGCTCCAGGGCATGGGCTCGAGATCAACCATGGGTGTCGTGTCTCGCAGAGAAGAGGGGCAAGGTGTTGCTAGGTGCTGAGTTCGGCATGGACCGACAGAGTATCACTGAAAGTTGTATTCTACATTTATCCTGATGTCTCGAGTCGCTTGCAGAGTCAAGGATTGCGGTCAGTTGTATTGCACTCAGTTATCAGAGTTGTGTAACAGGTGTGCGAATACAATTTACAAGTTTTAAGAGTGAGTGACCCAGCCAGCGACGAGCAGCTCACAGCAGGAGCCCTCTTGGAGAAAGGGCGGAGAGCATGGAAGTTGAGCAACGACAAGGCGAAGCCCTGAAGGAAGGGTGGGAGAGGCACCACTAAATACCAGCGCGAAGCTGGCAACTGCCCGCCAAAGGTGAGAGAACATAGCAGTGGAAGAAGCCTGAGCCAGCGCAGCTCTGAAGTAAGGGCGGACAGCGCCAAGCATCGACCAAGCGAGCATCGCACAGGACCAGCAGCAGAGGACAAGCTGCTAGCGCAATCGTGCATTGCCAGAGCACGGAGCAGGAGAGAGTGCGCGCAACCAGCGCCACCGAGCAAGATTGCTAGCCCCGGCGACCTGGGGACGAGCTGCGAGCGCAATCGGGCACCTTCAAAGACAAGCATCGTGCCGACTCAGCTGATCCAGCAGCAGATAGGTCTGCCGCTAAGAGAGAGAGAGAGCCGTGTGTATGACACGCCCATACTCACACACCCACGATTCATCGCCCAGCAGGGAAACAAGGCATTTTTGGGACAAGAAACGCCCTTCCACGGCGTCTGCTTAACGCAAAGAGTTGAGCAAGGAGACAATACACCAACACACACATAATGCACATATCGGGACTAATAAGATTACTCCAAAAGTTCTCCTTGTGTTTCGAACAGGGCCATCCTGAGGTAGTGCATCAACTGTTAGCTGATCATGAAAAGCATTGCTGCCTATTGAGTTACGTAGAAACGGTCGTTTAGAAGTATTTTAGTCATTATTGTTGTTAACAGCTTAACTGTACCAATGAATTCACTGATGAAACTAAACATTTACGAATCTACACATTCACAGGGATACTATTGTGTTGAAATATTTCTTTAAATTTCGATTTGGACCTGGTTTTCACCTGAGGACGGCTGCTTGCGTTGTGGCCGAAACGTCGTGAGAATTGTTTTATTATGTTTTATTTTTATTATTTTATTACTTCCCTTCTACGTGACTTTACCGAAAGAACCAAGAGGATCTTTCTTTAAATCACAGAATTTTGCCCGCGAATTTACTGAAACCTTCGCCAATTGATAGCATTTGCTAGACAAGCAGGCACACTGCCGCACACCATTGTTCCAAGACATTTCGTTAATTGCATAATCTTACCAATGAATTCATTGAGGTCTACTTTTGCTTTCCGGAAATGTTTCTTTATTGCTGTTTGTATGGATATTGTCACATTGAATTTTAAGGACTTTTTCCCATCGCCGTGTATGTTCGCTTTACTCTGAGGAATTAACCGATTGCTCTGTTACCCAATTTAACAAACGTAATCATTGAGGGTTAAATGTACGAATCAATGAGTAGGGCATCTCGAGGAGTACTGTGTTGACAATTCCTAGCATAAGTGTTCGCTCATTAGAGTGTCATGTTTTTTTGTTTAGAGATTAAAGTTGCTTAACACAGAAGAGTCTGCTCGGTGCCTTCCTAAGTTCATGCATAATAATCTTCATTAAAAGAACTGTATCCTGTGGAGAGATCTGAATATTGAGATCTGACATAAACACACTAAGACATAATCAGTAAAAGTTGAAGCGAGAATCATTGTATTATCCCGATTGATAATACAACCCTAGACAATGAAGCCGAGCTTAATCAGCATTATTACTGTACATCACACTTGCATAACTTCATACAATTCATTGTATTATCCCGATTGAGAATACAACCCGAGACAATGAGGCAGAGCCTGATTAGCATGATTGCAAACACTTGCATAAATTAATACAATAACACATCCCAATTAGCATAAATAGTTCGCATAATTACAAAAATACATGAATTAGCATAATTACACATTTATACTTTCATTTAATATCTATTATTTTTATTACATTTTCAAGACCCAATATATACAACAGTACCCCGCTCTGTCCTATCATCTCCACCATTACCTCACCCACCTACAAACTGGCCCGATTTCTGTCTGAGACCCTGCTTCCTTTCAAGGGCAAGACCACCTCAGCTGTACTTGGTTTCTCTAATCAAGGACATCTCACTGTCTCCAGATGATTTACTTGTCAGTTTCGATGTAGTCTCCCTGTTAACCAAGGTACCTGTACCTGATACCATTGCAATTATTGAAGACTTGGTCCAGCAGAGACTGAATCCAGATGTCACAACTTTGGTAAGACACTGCCTTACCAACGCTTACTTCACCTGGAATGGTACATTCTACGAAAAAAATGATGGTACCCCTTTTGGGTTTTTCCTTATCGCCAGTGGTAGCGAATGTTTTCATGGAGAAATTTGAGACAGATGCCATCCAGACATCCACCCTACGTCCTTCCTTGTGGAAGAGATACGGAGATGACACGTTCGTCATCTGGCCACATGGCCTGCCAGCACTGAACCAATTTCTCAACCACATCAATTCCATACACCCATCTATCAAATTCACTATGGAAGTGGAAACGGATGGCAAGCTACCATTCCTGGATGTTTGATCGAGAAGAGACCTGATGGCTTGTTGGGACATTCTGTCTACAGGAAAGCCACCCACACGGATGCCTATATAAAGCCTGACTTCAAATACCATCCAGCCCAGAAGAATTCCCTCATCAAAACACTACACCATTGGGCCTGTTGTATCTCCGACCAGCATCACCTAGCCAGTGAGCTGGAGCACGTACACCATGCCATCAGGATGAACGGATAATCTGACCATACAATCCGCAAAGCTGTCTCCCCAGCCATGGGGAGAAAACACCTGAGGATCCAACCAATACCATCACTTTGCCATACATAGCAGGTGTTTCCAAAAATATTTTCAAAATCTTAAACAAATACAAGCTCTAGGTTCGTTTCAACACAGTACACAAAATCCGTGATTTGATCCCATCTGTAAAGGATGTGATTCCTGATATGCAATACCCAGGTGTCTACAAACTGAGTTGTGGCTGCGGCAGCAGTTACATTGGGGAAACGAAACGACATGTCTCGGACCGCATTCACGAACACAAGGCAGATCTGCCGTTGCTGATCATTGTTTTAACGCAGTGGTCTCACACGAAATTGACTTTTCCAAGACGAAGGTACTCTGCAAACCCACCAGGCTATTATCAGAGATTTGTTCATGAAGCCATCCAGATATATAAACACAGACACAACTTCAACCGAGAAGATGGGTACAAACTGAGCAATCATTGGAAGGACGTTATTAACCAGGTAAAGTCTTAACTGACTGTGATGTTTCCATGCTACCTGCCCATGTCAGCTGTTATTTCCGACTCTGTCTTTCTCTCCCCCCCCCCCCCCCCCCCCCCCCCTCCTGCAGCCAATCTCTCCAGTGCTGCCGTGGTGGTCCACTTTTACTCCAGTGACCCGGGTGCTGCTGCGGGGTCCACTTTCTGCCCCGCCTCCTTCCCCCCCTCCCCCTTATCTGTGCTCCCCTACTGCCGAGGCATATATAACCTCGTGCAACGGCAGATCTCTCGCCTACTTCAGCAGCTTTTTCTTGCAGTGGTTGTCCCACCTGATAACGATCGCTTGTGTTGCGATCGAAACGTCGTGATCTATTATTTTTTCTACCTACGTGACTTTACCAAAATAACCAAAGAGTATGGATTCCTGCAGTCACGAAAGCTTAAAATCAAGAATGTACCTTCTCCACAGCTGAATCAGGATTCCCATTAACGAATTAATTATAATTTCCCTCATTATCATTGTGCTTATTATGGAAACACATAATTTTATTGAGACAATTAATCCTTCTTAACACCAAATGTTTTGTTTTCAGGGTATAAGCACAACAGCCCCTCACCTTCTCCACATCGCCTAGCCCCTCTGTGTCCAGCAGCAGCAGACATTTCCTCTCGTCGCGGGGGTGACGGACTGGCCAGATCCAGATGCCCTTGGTGTGGGACTGCACTGTGTTACCCAGTGAGAAACCTGAGGAAGCCAGACAAATAAACGAGTCATCTTGTGTATAACGTACAATATGTGAGCTCTACTACCTCGGGTGCACTCACAGGATGTGTCCAGTGACAGGACAAGAAGTTCCTCGTTGCAAACTCTAAGTGGATGTTTGGTCCCACAACCTCGTGTCTCCTGGATGTTCTGTCTTCTTCACTTGTGACCCGGTTTAAGTATCACAGATGTATTCCCCATCTGGTCCTTCCCTCTAAGTTTTTAGAATCCGCCTTCCTCCTGTGGTTGCCCAATAGTGTTTCCCCTCCTAAGCCCAAGTGATGTATAACTGTACCGTGACGTCAGGAACCTTCTGCCTATATGCACAGGGATAAAATCAATTATGCATACACTTTTGTTGTTATAATTGTGTCCTTGTTTAAACATGTGGTGACACATTGCCGACTTCTCAGCCCTCTTTATCATTGTAAAGTGCTCATTGTTTGTCATCCATCAATGGCCAATTATACTTGTTAAAGAAAATATACTGAAATAAATAAATACATTTCCTAAATATTCATGATATACACTGGGCGAAGATCCCGGGGCCGACCCAGGAAACGCTGGCGGGACTATTTTGCTCGCCTGGCCTCAGAATGTCTGGGAATTCTCCAGGAAGAGCTAGAGTCTGTCGCCAGGGAAAGGGAGGTCTGGACTGCCCTACTCATCATGCTGCCCCTGTGACCCTCACCAGGACAAGCGGATTGAAAAACTAACAAATGAACGGACGATATATATATAATCACATGATGTACTCCCAGAAAGCCGTGGGACCAATGGGTTGTCTTTAAATACTTGTTTTATGTGCCAGGACAGATAGAGGAAGAATACGTTGTCTGCTTGTGTGTTTTGTTACTCATATTCTCCACGTTAGAAATAATTTTGTGTTATTCAAATAAATAACACGGGAAAAAGTAGTACACAAACACACACGTGGTGGGAACATTCTGGTTTCAAAGCACATGGTGTAACTTGAGTAAGAGTCGTATTATACATGCCATATATGCATGACATGCATGTAGTTTGTGTTACCTGACATTGTGCTAGAAACACCAATTTCTGTTAAGCGAATAAAACAAACCAGAGTTATCCATAAACAATCATATATATTACAAACATACACCCAACACACTTACAATACCTCTTGCACAGCACACACTGGTGCATATGGCAGAGCTAGGGCTGCCACCTGTTTAAGTTTTTCTAGGTAGCTATCCTGGGAAATCTGCCAGTGTTCCCAGGACAAAAACAGTGACTTCAGCAACCTTGGCTTGCTTTTTGCCGGGGAAAAAAAACATCGTCGTGACCGGCTGACTCGGCACAGTAATTGTGTGGCTCAGGTGTGCAGTGCAAAAAAGGTAACCAGGCACCACACTAGAAGTGGGCAGGTACGTGGCACCCACCCAACCCTATCCCTAACCCCTACCGATGGCGTTATCTCTATCACTGACCACCTTTGGAGTGTCTCTGAGGGCAGGTGCCAGGCCCACAGGGTGCTTGCTCAGCCTACCCGGGACCAGCACGGAGGTCTACTTAAACAGGACCAATGCCTCCAAACCCCTCACTTCCCCATCATTATTGTTAATGATATCATTATTATTATCCTGGTCAATGTCCTCCCACTCTTTATAACTGCATCCCCAGGAAACTCCATACGGTTTCCTCTCTCTCAGCTTTCAGGTCGCTCCTCAAAACTTAATCTTTAAACCGTTGTGACTTTAGACCCACTCAATTGCATTTTGATTATCCTTCTCTTGCTTGGTCCCTCCCATTCCCTGACATTTTCCTCCTTTTTAAATCCTTTATATTAAGTTCACTTGCTTGCTTGCTTAGGACCGTGCAAATCTTTCGGTCGTTTTTTAACCCACTTCCCGTGATACAATCGAGCTGACATTTTCCACGCAGACTCGTTGTGCGTGACAATGAATGTTCGTGAAAAAATTTTTCCATAATTTTACACTTTTTAGTACAAAAAATATTATATTTAATTACCAATTGCTTAATGCTGCCATGCAATCATCTGACCCATAGGTGGCAGCCATCTCAAGCCAGAGGACGAGAGGACTCTAGCCGCCACGCATATAAAGGATTTATAGTGAAAAACTTTGTTTTTACGGGTTATACTTGTTATAACCGTGCTCTGAGACATCTGTTACGTTATAGAAACGTTAGAAATGTAAGCTATTGTTTTGTTTTATTGTAGTTGGCATGGCAACCTATATTACAAATTTCAGGACTTGAGGGAAATGTAACTCTCCACAATGGTTTAATGTGGACTGCAAAGCGGGAGTCTTTTTTTATAACATTGCCCCAGCGAGAGCACCGAAAAGATCTGTCGCTATGTACGACACTAGAAACGTCACCCAATGCGTAATGTCCATGTCTATGGGGTCCCAAAACTTTACAATCACTGCTCAAGCTGCCAGACTTGTACAGAGCTAAGGACCACCCCAAATGGCTGCATAACAGTGTATACACTGGGCTATTTCCAAGTCACCCACACCTAACACCACTGCAGTGCAGGACCTATCACAGGAATATGTTTGATTTGAACCAACCTCTAGTCTGCAGGGGTTTGGGAAGCGCAGACCTGGCCTTTGGTTGCTTCTGCTCAAATTGCCCATCTCTGTGTTACAAATATAAAAAGTACACAACACAAAATATATTTAAAGAAGACTATCAAACGGCTGTCTCTCTTTACATAGCAACACAGCAACACCCAGCTTAGTGTAGTGAAGCTGAATCATTGGCCTTCATATGAAGATGTTTAAGAGCAAAAAAACACTGTGTGCGTGTTGTTACATCGAATCCATTACCCTGATAAGTATTTCAATGATCGTGCATCTGTGTGCTCACTGCCTTCAGAGTCGGCAATGGCTGGATTGGTGAAGTATGGTCAATTAACACCTATGACCTGCACGCCAGTGGAGGCCCTCATCCAGTGTTGGATTGACAAAAGGGCTGTACAAGACCATGTGCCTGGTAACCGCTGGTAAATCGGTTCTCAGAGTGAAACGACTCCTGAGGGTGCACCCGCTGTGATGTTTTTGTTAATTCCCATCGAACACACATTCAACATCTGTTTCTGCGTGACACACACTCTCATCGACCAGCACTTGACCATGCTCCTCACGTCGGCGAATTCCTCTTCATCTGTGGGAACAAAAACACAGGGGAAGTCAGTGCTTCATTGCAGTGGCATGGCTATTGAGTGTGCATGTGGTGCAACTGTACTGTGGTTCATAATAGAGGTTTTTTGGGTTAGATCGTGTAAATATATAAGTGTGTCATTAAACCCGCCACCACCCAACACAGCCAACTAGTAAGGGTTGTCACGTAAACAGAACATGCCATTTCGTCACTAGTACAGCACAACGGTGTGTTGGAGAGCCAAGCCACAACATTTACAATCTGAGTACAATGTTTCGCCAGTAATTACAACCAGCTTCATCAGGCGACAGCCATATTTGTGAAGAAGTCCACCTGTTTCGATGTGGTGACCAAACTTCTGCGCTCTTGAGTCGAAGTACATTATGCATGCGCATTATGCGGGCCCATTGATCTTGCAACCACTGATGCGTGTCCATATTTCTAAAGTGGCTGGGACGGGTGGAGATACTCCCGAATTTGCACGATGCCTTTTAGGAGCCTATGTAAACCCCTGCCTAGCAAGAGTTATGCACTGTTTCTGTACTCGGGCCCCTGGTTCCCAGTTAAAGAGCAGCGTTACATAGTCTAGAAATAGCTAAATCTACCAAACGTGTGTGACCAGGACAGTTTCTGAGTCTTGAGACTCAATTATCATTATAAAATATATGTACGTCTAATAATTGGACAAATGTCTCTACATGTTATATGGGTATTGTTTGACCGTACTTTGCCATGCTGATATAGTGCGGGTTGTTAAAATCCTTTCTATTTTCATCCCATCCACTGCAAATTTGACAAATCACAAACAGCTATTTTCTAAGTGTGGTACAACACTGCGTGTATATGTTAAGTACATATGGTTTACCTGCTTCTTCAGTATGATTTCGGCTTGATTGTCCTTCTGACCTGTATAATTAATAATTAGTGTCGTTGTGGAGCCTATAGTTAACAGCATATATCTGTAGACTATATGTATCCTTCACATTTCTGCCTCTACATATACAAAATAAAGTGTATTTTCAAATCCCACTTTAAATTATCGACAACAAAACTTGTGATTATTTTGTTAAATGTGATATATCTTTTTGTAGTGAGCTAGGACCCGTGACTATAATATATTATCTAAAAGTACTTGGCTGTTCACCAGCATAAGTTCAAACAAGCGTGACTTTACCGATAAGTCACTTTCAAAACTAGTACAATTGTTTGTTTGTGTTGAACCAATGTTGCTGAAAGTATGCACTCTCAGAGGTTGCGTGGCTCATGCAACATGTTATTTTGATATTGGGGAAGAGATTAAAACAATTGTATGTTCTACTTGATCCCTTTGCTACAACAAATACTTGTCAGTCAAGTTAAATTAAATTCAGCACAATCAGCGTTGTGTGGAGGTTGGAAATTATAAATTTTCATCATGGATATTGTGGCGATGTTACCATTCTTGTTGTGTACTTGATTGTGGTGTTTTGTAATTTGTGATTGTGGTGTTTCAGAATTTGTAACGTGAGGAAAGTGTTTTAATTGTGACGTTTTCGGATGCTTGAGTTGAAGTTCACTGGTTGTGAATATTTGGGTTTAATGGTTATTTTCTTACATACTTGTAAAACCGTGGTAAAGCGTCCAATGTATAGGATTGAAGCTTTTGTGACTGCCGGAATTACTATACTCATTGGTTCTTTCGGTAAAGTCACGTATGTAGAAATAAAATAAGAATAAAATTAAAATAGATCACGAAGTTTCGAACGCAAAACAAGCGTTCGTCCTCAGGTGAAAATGTCGTAAACCACACAGCGAGGGAACACACAGATGCACATCACACACAGAGCACACAGAGAACGGCAAACTGCACGGAGGCAAATACAGCAAGAAGATGGAAGACGCGAACTCGGCAAAGCTTAGAAATATAATGCGATGCAACTCAGTCGGCCAACAACACAGTTAGACACTAAACCTGGTTGACCACGTATTTCAAAAGACTGATAAATTTTGTGTTCACCTTCTAGGTTGAACACACCAACGTAAACAGAGGATAAGGACTCGTGAACAGACACGAGGTACAAGGTAGCCTGGAAGGCAATTGATAGTGAAATGCTGCATTAATGGTCAGCGATAACTGGAAGACTATAGGGGTTCCATTTGATTTTTGTAAATTTCCAGAGGGAATCCGTCAGGACCTGCTGTCTTCCCCGAATGTGATGATGCCAAGGCCTCGTTTAACTCTTGTGTCTCGATGGATATGTCCAAGTCCTCTATCCATTTAAGATCTAGGCTACGGAGAAGAATTTTTATCAGGTAAGCGTCGATTACCTTATTTTAACGAGAGACTGATGTTAAACGGCCTCATAGATGTCCTTAAAACATGTATTAATTTATTTGGCCTTAGTTAACGGGAGGGGGCCTATTTGTTGTTTACCTAGCAATATCCGTGCGCAGTTATTTAAACATCTGGCCATCGGCGCCTACACTCGCGCTGCTCTATCCATGGAAGCTACGTACCCTCCCTTGATTTTTCGTACCTTATCCATTTCCCGTCACAACTCACAATCTCCTGTCACCACGTGCATCGCTCACAGCTGCACACCGCACGTGCCCCACTGTACCCTCAGGTGAGCGCATAAGGGAGCCGTCATCACCGGGTGAGAGCCCTATGCCGAGAAGAAGGGGATGAGGAAAAAGTAGAAATTGAGGGGAGAAATGGGAGGAGAGGCAGTCTAAAAAGAGAAAGTGGAGAGCTCATTGGGAAGGGAAAGTTCCGTGCTTCGTTCAGCCGTGAAAACACGGAAGATGCAGGACTGGTGCTCCAAATCCACTCCACCCAGCGACCAGCAGCCTCAAGCAGCACTCCTTCAGTTGCCCCTCACTTGCCCTCAGTCTCAGTAGCACTTCCTGGAACCCCCGGCACCTCATCACCTCACCTCGGGTTAGGAAATCCCACCTCCTCCCTCCAATGTGGATCCGAAGTTTGGCTGCGTAGAGCAATTGCGAGCTCACCCCATTCCTGTTCACCAGATCTCTGTGCAGTGGGAGGAGGTTTCTCTTCTTCGAGTCAGTCAAAGTAGGGTCAGGGACTATGAAGAGCTTGTTTCCCTAAATTTGATTGGCATTGCCCTTTGACATTCTTTCCATACTTAGCGCTTCTGCAGCCCCGTGCCAATTGGAGAAGAGGATTAACATGGGGACGAGTCTAGGGTTGTTTGCTTCCATTTAACCTTACCTTTCAACCAATTGTATCGGTTGTTGATATGGAGTTTTTAGGTTTTTGAGTGCAGAGAGTATGTGTTTTTGAGAAGAGTAGATGGTTCATTCGGAAGCGGTGTTTTCTACCCCCTCTGGGAGACCAGAGGCCTTCAGTTGACTTTCCCTGCCATTACCATATTGTTTATTAAACGTCTTCTCTAGCTCCTTGAGTTGTCGTTATGCACCTTGCTCAAGTCTCTGTGTTGCTCAAACGTGATCTGAAAAGATGCCATTGCTTACTCTTGTTTCTCCATCCTCTCATTGATCCCACTTAGTGTTTTGTTACAGCATGGAGTAAAGTGGTTTTTGGCTCCGTTTGCTGACCAACTTCCCAGGTGTTTTGGAAAAGTTAATCGACCTTTTCAAGTAGAGCTTGTAACATCCCACGAGTCCCTCCAGGAGTTGTCTCATGTCATTCCTTTATTGCGGAGATCAATGGAGAAGATGCCTTAGATTTATTTCCCATGGATATTTCCGCCATTGAGCATGTGGAGTGTGAGGCAGGCAAACACAGGCCTAAGATTCAGTTACATGAGACAGGCCGAAGTAAAAAAAAAACTTTTCTGCAGGAAGAAAGGCTCGCAAGAATTGGGGTTTTCTAACCAAAAAAACTCTCTGAAACCTCATGCATTAGGCTGATATTATGGAGGGGTCGAAGAGGTCCGATTGGGCACTGTTCATGATGAAACCGGAAGTCGAAAGTAGTCCGTTAAAAATAGTTGCGTCATTATTTATAAGAGTGTAGGGAGAGTATTTTAAAATTAATGGTGGAGGCGTTTGTTCATGTTTTTGGATTTGTGTGTATGCTTATCAGAGTGCACTTGTGTGTGAAGATGAGTAATGTCTATCTAAAGGGTGGTATTGATCATCCCTTATTTATAATGGAACGTATTAACTTTTTGCCCATTAATCTACATAAATAATAGGGAAATTTGTGGATATGTGTGTCTGTTCGAAATGTTAGCATACTTCCAAACATGCTACAAACTTGAAATTTGGTATATGGGTAGCTTCCTTACTGTACACAATGTAAAAAGTATAAAAAATTTAATTTTATATTGGGGGGAGGGAGGAATAATGGATATAATATATAGCATGGCAAGTGAGCGGTGACGTCACATCTGTGATGTCACCCGCATGCGGCAGCGTTACGCAGTGTGCCTGCTGATGTCACGCATCCCTCCCCCCACCCTCCGCGTCGGCCGTGTATCCCGCATAAATGCACGCTAATTGTTGTCATATTAGACTAACGTTTTACTTTCTGGCTGGACGGACACGTCCAAAGGAGGCACGGGCTGCTATCTTCTAGATATATAAAAGGGAAATTTGTGAATGTGTTTTCGAAATGTTTAGCATACTTCCCAACATGCTACAAACTAGAAATTTGGCATGTGGGTAGGTTCCATACTGTACACAATGTAAAAATCATGAAAATAGACTTTTGTATTTTGGGAGGGGGGGGGAAATTACCATGAAGTGTGTGGCGTCAACCCACAACACACCTGAGTTAAGCGGTCTGCAATACTTACCCCTACCATATGGCTCTTCGCGCGCCATAGTTCTAGAGCTGTTAACAGCATGCCGGGAGATTTTAGGTGGCACTTCGCTCCTGGCCGATGAGGCCATTGGCTCCTCGGAGTTTCAATACATATCCGTGCGAACGGGTACAACGGCTATCTTAAATATAAAGCAGAAAATACATCTGTTTGTTTGTGTGAAGCAGCAAAAACTCTCGAACGCTGAGATCTGGCGTCATGAAATTTGCACAGCTTATGCTGTCTGTATTTTCTAAAGTGAACGCGACCATTTTCAGCTCACCACATCATTCCCTTCCCGAGTTGCCAAAATCGACCATACATATAAGTGGGTTAAGGTTGAATTTTCTTGAGTGAAAAACATCCGATTTAGTTAAATTAATTTGTTTCGGATTTTTTCTTTCTTACAAGCATCAATTTTTTTCAGGGTTTTTCAGTGAAATATAAGGGAATATGAAATTAATCCAAGACAAAAATCTAAGTCCTGGGCGAAGCCGGGTAGTTTAGTACCATATAAAATTGGAGTAAGGACAAGTCTTACAATTTTTTAACTGAATGTAAGTTCAAACTTGTTTCTCCATACTCAGGTGCCAGGTTGAGACCATAAATTGCACTTCAGAAGCCCGTTTAATTATGGGCTGCTGAAACCCAAATTCAAATCAAGGACTGCATTTTTGCCAACTCGGTACTGATTTCTAAGCCAACCCAGCCACCTCATATCTCCACTAGAGACAGATAAGAGTCACCTCTTCGTCACAAACGCGTGCATTTTGTGCCGATTCAGGACAGGATTCACTTCTTCTGCTGTGAGGAGACAAAGCAGTGGTAAAATAAGCATAGTTGACAAAACATATATACAGCATTATTAATGAATATGTAATCTCAAAAGTTTCAGAATTTGAAATGCACACATGTTTAATTCATCATCAGGGACATAATGATTCTAAAGCACGATAAATCACATTCAAGTGAGCAGGTTGCAAATGTTGGTGCCAACAATTAGCAAGCTCTGTGGCCCTAAATGTTTGGCCAAAACCACAGTTGTATATCCTAAGGCCTTTTGGGATATGGGGAATTAGGGCAATGCCTAAGTTGCCTATACCTTAACTGAACAAAAATTAGAGGCAAAAATAATAAAACAATACATTTTCAAATAACATAATAAAAAGCAATTAAATAATGTTATTTACCTTAAATACTGAGGATTGAATTCCATGGTGATTACGATGATGTTGAATGAGGATGAGGTAACGGGGTAAGTGTTTGTTAGGAGGAGGAGGGGCTTTTCTCACCCCCTTCGTCTGGTGTTGGGCAGAGAGTGGTGGCGGGAGCTGGGAGATGAGATGATGCATGGATGGAATATATGTAGTGTAATCTTGATTTGCTTCCTTTCACGGGCAAGACTATTTCAGCTGCACTTAACTCAGCTCACTTAGTTTCTCTAATCAAGGCTATCTGACTGTCTCCAGATGATTTACTTGTCAGTTTCGATGTAGTCTCCCTGTTCACCAAGGTACCTGTACCTGACACCATTGCAATCATTGAACACTTGGTCCAACAGGGACTGAATCCAGATGTACCAACTTTGGTAAGGCACTGGATGAGGTAGAATTGATTTGCCGATCCAGGCCAAGATAAGTTTTGGGTATGGCCCCCGATTCAAGAGGGAGGCATTGCTTAACAAAACCATTGGGCTTGCTCAGCTAGAGTCCAACAAGAGAAGCAGAAGTTGCAACATCGTCATCGTAAGGTATTGTTGCTGCTGTTGTTGCTATTGCTGTTATTGTTGCAGTTGCTGCTTTTGTTCTTACTGTTATTGTTGCTGTTGTTGTTTCTGTTGCTGTTATACATGTGGAGTGACTAACTCGGAGACACTAAGAGTTAGATGCACTTCTTTAATAACAAGCACCATCGGGGTTAACACTTTTATAATAAGTCAGCCTATGATCAGCGACGTTACTCAGTCAGGAAAGTTGGTGGGCTGCCTGACTGGTGACGCCCCGAGATGGTGAAGATGGAGATGACGACGAGGAGGATGGTGAAGGCGACGAAAAGAATAAGGAGAAGAATGGTGAAGACTTCAGCAGCACGAAGGGGTGGGGGGGATCCCACTCCATATGACAGCCATGAGGTCCCCTACAGGAGCCCTTCTTATACTTTCAGTATAGCCTGGCTCCGCCCCCGGCCACGCCCCCTTTCTGGAACCTACTAGCGGGTTCTTGGTGTGCTCCTTTTGTGACCTTTCCCCTAGATCCTCCTCTGGAGTATAACCTGGCCTGCTGACATCAGGGATGCTGAAAGCTGCAGATCCCCTTCCCTGCCAGCAGCCAGCGCTATGCTGCTACATTACAATGCTATGCCACTAAACATGCAACATGCTGGTGTCCCGTGATGGGATAGCGCCTTTGATCAAAACCCTCAATAAAATGCCTCCAATAAAAGCCCTCGATCGACACCTTCGATCGAAGGAAATAATCTGCAGTCTTTTTTTATTGTTTTTCTTTCTAAAGAGGGTTATGTTGCCATGTGCAATCTCAACTGAGCAATTTAGGACTCAAATTTGGACCATGACACGAGCACACTATGACCTACTCTTTTGAATGACATAATAATATATTTAATGTCCACTGTGAAGCAGACACATTAACATTAACATAACCACCTTGGCGCACTCACCGTGTAGAAGTGTCGGCAATCTTGCATTGACATGCTAATTTTGCCTGGCAGCCCTCTGATTGATGGAAAGCCCACCACCGCCACGGTCGCTACCCACAACTTGCATTAGCATTGGCTGCTGACAATTGTTCTACGCCCATTTCAAAACTTTATAAGCAGTTGTCTTTAGAAGCTAACCCCCCATGTTCCTGATGACGACCGCTTGTGTTGCGATCAAAACGTCGGCATATTGTTATTATTATTTGTATTATTTTATTATTTTCTATCTACGTGACCTTACCGAAAAACCCAAAGAATATGAGCATTCAATGACCAATGGGTTTTAACTGTGCCGAAAAAAACCTAAACCTAAGGAGTTCTCAACAGAAATTATCAAGGCATCATCAGCTACTTCCCGCTACAACAAGATACATTCAGCAACTTCAAATGCTGTCTCTGAATCCACCTAAGGTAAGGATTTTAAGCCATATGTAAAACATATATCTCGTCTAAGGTGGAATGAGGGAAAGTGCCTAGAGATGCCCCCTATATTCTGATTCATTATTTATTTTTTGTGTGGTCAGATTGCACAAGTAAAATGCGTGTCGTAAACCTTCCTCCACTTAGCATACTGGCGATTAGCACAGTTGGCTACGTACGATGTTTATAAAGTTCAACATACATACACACAGTCGATTATTGAATTTGTCATGTCAACAATGTGTCAATTTATATTGATTCAGGACACCGGTGTGTGGAAAATCAATAGCGTATATAATTGGGTATGATGTAGTTACAACCTGCTTCACCAATCTAGGCTTTAAATACGTGTGGAGTCATGTGATCATTATGTGCCCACCAGGTACCAAGACGTGGCAGGCAATACCTCCAATTAGCATGGTTGGCTACATACAGTGTGAAAGAATTTCAACATACATTAAGTGTAATGTATTCGAATAAATGTAGAATTGTATGTTAGACTATCATAAATTGTGTTAGATGTTAATATGATGGTATATATTCACGTAGTAATACAGGTTAGTCATAGTTAATTCGTTAAATGTAATGGTAATGTTATAATAATGCTGTGTTAGTTTAAATTACTGTGAATACATTATTCTAATGAGGTTGTGATGTGATCACAAATCCAACACCACCCGACAAGCTGGGATGGCACCCAATGCACGGGAGGAGGTGGCAGTCTCAGTTGCACATGGTTTTCCAGTCTCTTTCAGACAAGCTCAAAGTCATAATACTGTCAGCTCTAAGGTCTCCAGATCTCAAATTCGGCAGCTTAAGTGCTCTGTTTAGGTTCCAAGTGGTCCCAGTCCATCCGACCTCGTTTCCCTCAGTCCCTTGGTTGGGGTCCAAGTAGTCTTCCAGAGCAACAATTCAAACTCAGAGCTAAATTATTCCAGCTAGATTAAGCCACACAGCCATTTCCCTCAGCCAAGATGGAGTCCCAGTCATGCCCATCCATTCTCCCTGGTAGCACACCGTTCGTGGGACTGCGTCTTGGCTTTTATAGGCATCTTCCACTTCCAGAATATAAGTTTGAATTTTATTCAACTAAAACAACTATTGTATTTTAGAGGATGTCTCCTGAAACGGGGTTTTCCAAACTGGGTAATCACTCCTGTATGTTCGTGCTCTCTATAGATGATATTGTACCATATGATTGTGGACACGTCGTGAAAAAGAGTTAAGTCAAATATCTCTCTGAATTGCCTCGTTTTTGGTCTTTGAAGATCTGAGCTGGCACTTCACTGCAGTTATTGGTCTCTAGTTTTTTTAATAGTACGCCTCAGAGTTTAATATAAGAGTGTCCACTGAAGTTGTCACTACCCACTGGAAGATTCATTGAAACAATATTGCCAGATGCCAAAGGCAGGTCGTTACACACCAAATATACACGTAGATATACGAAAAGGCACACATACACATAAATACACACATACAACGATACACACGCGTAGCAACACAGGCATACAACAATAGTTAGAATTCGCCACTAAGTGGCGGTGACATTTACCAGTGCAAGGACAGTGCAGGGTAATGTAGGGACAGTACGGCTCCCCGGGACCATGGTTACTAATTAATGTAATGGGAACAGACAGGGTCATGTTAGGGTAATTTGGGACTTAAGTGGTTGCTAAGAATGATTGATGGGACAAGCGTTGACAGAGTCGCGTGAGGGGAAGCACGGGACCCACGGTGGTAAATTGTAATAAGTGCAGAGACAGACAGGGCCAAGTGTGGTGAGCGAGAGTTCGGGAATAGGGGCAAGGCCAGTTCGTGAGGGAAATAAGAGCTGGCGTGAACCAGGGCGCTGAGCTGTTGCTGTGGGGAATCGCCGTCGCCGTCGTCAACTTGGAACGGGTTCGTCTTCATCATCCTGCAGTGGGCATCTTGTAGTCTTGAAGGGCCAGAGCTATGTTGTCTCAGAATAGAGTTATATAAATTACTCAAGTGCACATAGTCACTCACGGTTAATCGTTAAGTTATCAGAGGGTCGGCAGACTTTATTCATAATAAATATACATCAAATAACAAGACGGTGTCTCTGAGAGCTACATTACAGTGATGTCAGAAGTGGTTTGTAAAATGCAGAAGAAAGGAAAGAGTAAGAACCCACCTGTAGCATCTTCAGAGAAGGAGAAGGAAGACGACCAATAAGTCCCTCCAACAGCCCCGATAGCTGGGGTCCCGGTGACAAAACCCGCGAGCACAGAGAAAACGGTGCCAGTAACGGAAGAATGGCAAGAACTGGTGGTGGAGGTGTTTCGGCTCCGTTCGACCATTGCTGAGTTAGTGGCGACGACGGGAGTGGTGATTTCTAGGGCTGACATAGCCGGGGATGAGCCTCAAAGTTGCACAGGGATGGTGGAGCGGCCGCCTGCGGTCGGGGTTCCCGCGCTGCGGACCACGTGGTCGGGGGCCGCCATTTTGTGGGAGGCGACGCGACCGATTGCCATCATTTGGGATCCTGCGCGTGAAGTAGCAGAGGCGGAGTCAACTCGGGCGGCAAAGCGAGGGGCTACCGATCAACCACGAAGATTGCCTTTGATTAAAAAAATTACGGTGACGAGGGTGGATTGGAGTGCCTTCACCCGCCGGTTTGGAGCAGCGTACCAGTCCATCGGCTGGAC